CATTGTACCCTATCACCGCATGAGCCAAACCTTTGAGTCGGATGCTGTCGGTGGGGAGACTCCAACAAATCCCTCTCCCGGAGTGAAACGCTAGAGAGGATCATCCGCTCACAAGACGGCTTCAGCATCATTCTCTGCCTCTCCTTCTATTCCTTTGTATATTACCTAGTTCGCCAACGGTGGATTGCCACTCACTATGTGACCTGCACTATCTGTGCACCGAAGTCGTCTTTCAGACTAAGGTTTCGCTTCACGTCGGGTCTTTCAACATTTGCACTTCGCTTTGGATCGGTCGACCTGCAATTCCTGCTATCTGTTCTCACTCTGTTGAAGTTGACGTGTGCTGAGTCTGTGAAACGCGCACCCTAGGTACCGGCATTCTAAGTTTTGGTAACTCTGTTTAAGTTCCAGTGCTGTTGGCAATGTTCTTCATGTTACTGGTGATATCGTGCGGATGTATAGTGGGGGTATTCATGATGTCTATGTTGTGCTCAGTGGGTGTGCTGTGGTCAATCCCGTACAGTTCATAATGCTTAAGCACGTTTGTGGTGTTCGAATTTCCACCTGCGTCGGAGTTGGTAGGAGGCATCCGAATTCCAATGGCTTTTTGTAGACCAGCTTTCTGTCGGGACTCTCATCTTTCATCCGTATGGGTAAGCATACGAATATTGTGACTCTTTAAAATGGCGCGCCTGTATCATGGAGAAAAATAGTTTCAGATGACAGTCATTGTACGGATCTGGCCGCTGCTCGCTGATATCATTAAGAGACGGATCATATTTGACCGTTGCTGGCGGGCGAATCGAATAGTTCCTGTCGCACTCGAATCGCCTTCCTGTGATTCGCGTGTATCTTTATACCAGGTTCTGCGGTGTCTATTGTTTATCGGCATCGCTCCTAATTCGGTGAAATCATGAGGCGAGCAGTCAGTGGTGCTACATGTTGGCGAATAAAGTACTTCATCACAGGCGGATACTTTGTGCATTGGAGTCCTCGGGCCTCAGTCACATCAGTCGTGAAAAACTCTTTCGAACACGGCAAATTCGTATCCTCCGTGGCATTCATGCGTCTTTTCCCTCAAGTCGAATTTAGTCAAAATAAGCTTTATGTATCCATGTGGGTACATTTTCAGCACTTTACAATATCGATTACGGATTGGCTAAAATTACATTATTAGAACTTTAAATCTGGATGAACGGAAAATGGATGTTGTGTGCAGATGAGTAAACGGTCAGTATAAACAAGCAACAATCGAACATTTCCGGATAGAATAATTTAAACTTGCATTCTGTTGGGCGGCCAGCTTTGCAAGCTAGGTTTCCAGTCGGGACGGTCCATCTTCAAGTGCGCAGTATCGAGTTTTTCTCAAAAAGTAGACGAAGCACAGCGGTGTCGATCTTGGAAATAGTTTGACAAAGGTCCACGTTGAAGTATTCCGGGGAAACTATTCTATCCACAGCGATAATAAAAATGATGTTCAGCGAAAGCGGCACGGCCACTTTAAAGGCCCCTCATTTATGTTCCTTATCTAGTCCAGTTGGTGATTCTATTTGTCCATTTCTAATGCATTTTTATTGATGTGTGGTACTACAATGGCGGTATGTGTTAGGGCCTATTGCACATCAGTTCATAGATGGAAGATTTGCAGACACAATCTGAACTGACCTAAACTGTCTTCAACCCAACTCCGGTTATATCATATGAGTCTATGGGAACTTGTCCTCATCATTCACAAGGGCAGATGGAGGGTATCACTGTTCATGCATAACCCATTTTTACTCCTTCTCGACTGGAAGTGTTGTCTGTTGGCCGGGTGGAAACGTTGGACTACTTGGTTTATATGGGCTGTCTTTAGGTCTAATTCAGCTGACATACCACCCGCTTCTGTATGAATTAACACGACGTACTCTATGCACTTCTGCATTCATTGCACCCGTCTGATGTGCTGCATGATACATCCGTAGTTACTGAACAGTTATTCGATGCAGATGATCGTTGAATTACGATTGCTACTGGACAGTTTGCGTGTCTTTGCGACCCCTTCCATCACACTCTTTAACCCCCGTGGGGTCTCGAATGTTGCTCCTAGCAATTTTACCATTTGTTCATTATCAGACAAACTCAGTCTTACACTTTCCTGTTAGAGTTAAAACTTCGGTTCCCTTGAGTAAAATTGCCCATCTTATTACAACATTGCAATATTCCCCTTGCTTGGTAGTCAAGCTTTCTAGACAAACGCTTTGCTTACGGATCCTAGTTGTTCTCCGGATGCATCGTATACTGCATTTTCATGCAATTACCATGATGCTGTCGAGTTTTGATAAAGTTTTCCATAGTTATTTTTGACGCGGGAGTCCTGCTTACTACATTCTGAGTCATCAGTGCACCGGCCATTGAATCAATGAACTTGGTGCAATTCACAGGATAGGTCCCTGCTACCACTCAGCACAATGCGACTAGACGGGAGACTAGGCGCGAACCAACTCGCATTCTGTCTAGTAGATTAAGAAGACTCAGAATATGGAAGGTGTAGGAGCAGAGAGTAACGGTTGCATAAAAGTCCAACTAATCCTCCACTGGATCCATGAAATCAACCTTCAGTTATACCACACGGCACAACACAAGCACTCCATAGGTGGAGTTCGTTCGATCTCCTACTTCTGAAGCTCCTTGTCCAGATGGCGCATGTTGAGCTTATGAGAGGTTGATTTCACTGGGGCCGAAGGTAATTTTTCGTCATGAAAAACAGTTCAGTGTTGTCAAAGTTAATCTTATATGCCCACTTACTCTCATCACATCAAGCAACCAAACTAGGCGCACCCGCAGGGCATAGCTGTGCAAGTGTACATGTTGCGATCCGAAGGTATAGATGTCGCTAATTTGGCCATTATGTCACATGTGTTCTGTATTACTTTCTAGCGAGTCTTGCATTGATTCAACTGAAGGACGACACTACTTTTAGCCATCTGGGCGTGAAATCAGTGGCTTGCAATAAGCTGAACGGAGGGTATATATGAATATGTTAAGTGTGTATGTGTGACCTGCTGAAACTATGTATCTAATAAATGCGTGAAGGACGACGTTGCTACAAGCAAAACGCGTTGGTTTAAGCGCTTCATTTGAAACAGAGGTTCCATGGCTTTCGACAGTTTCTACACTGTCATTTCAAATTATCTTGCGGCCGTGCTACTTGCGTATGGCGGCGGGTCTTCGTCATGGTACTGATCCACCTGTACGGACACATATGGGAGGTCGAAAATCAGAACAGAAAGAGATAGTCTCACCGTTTTGTTGACCACGAAATTCTTATCTCAGCACTGATGGCGCATGCATTCTGGTACGCTGTTTCGCTGCGAAATGAGAATCCCCGACTGCAAGTGAATCTGGAGACTTTCATCTTGGACGGGCTCTCGCAGGTGCCAGAATAACCTCATACACACACACACACACACACACTCTCTCTCTCTCTCTCACACACACACACACACACACACACTCACACTACCCACCAGCAGTAACTGCTCCTTGATTTCATGAACGCGCTTTCAACTCACCTGGTTTCTTCATCCTCTTCGACCTGATTCACTAGGAAGTTTGTCCCGTTAACTACGTAAACATTTTACATTTCTTTTACTTGAACAGTACAACTCAGAGCAATCGAACTGTTGACATATCGGAAATTATGTCTCCTTACTGCGTTGAATTTTTCGTCACTCACATCAGGGAGCCATCTCACCGTTACAAGCAGCTGATTATCACAACCTTGTTCCTTAGTCAGCACTGACGACTACCCAATAATCTAGCCTGGCAAATAAACAGATAGCAACCGATGATCACGTTTACATTCTTTGTCCCACAGAACATTGAGCCACACACAGATTATAACTTCTCCACTAGGAGATTCACGCGAACCAAAGTCGGTTTCCGGCATATTTGGGGATTCTTTCTCAGTATACAAAACGTTGGTTTGGCGCCTCCTTTACCAACTCAGTCTCGATCGCGCTACCTTGCAGTCCGAGTTTCTGTTTGTTGTCACGCTGAGTTCTTTTTTAGTTACCACCTTTGCTTTTTATGCTGACTAACTTCTTATACACAAAACCACTTTCGAGGACCTTTATTATGTAAATTCGTTGCATTCTTGAATTTTTCATGATCTGATTGGTTTTGTCTTACACGTTTATCTACTGTTTTATCTTGTCCCATCAGCTATAATCACCTTTGACACCTTGGAGGGCGCAGTTAGTGCCATCAAGCGCTTTGTTCTACTTCACGGTGGACCTGTCATATGGGTTCCCCCCGGGATGGTGGCACACGCTGCCAACGATCTCGCTAGTCCAGGATCTCAAAGTAGTACCCTGCCCCGTGGACCCACGTCGTCTGTGTGATTTACTTGTGACAGCCAATCTCATCTTTTATCCACGTCGACTTCATGATCTGCAATGGTTGTAGCCATATTTTCCTCTTTGGACTACGAAGTTGCTACTCTGCATCTTTCCTGGCTGTGTCCCGCAGTTGCGACCGCTATCCCTCCTCACAAGCTTACATTTTTATTCGACAACACACGTTATCAAAAGATTTTTTGTAATCATCTATCTTTGGACGCTATTCGCTAACAATCACGAGCCATTTGTACAAAACACCGTAATAAACACTGAGCTGTCTCATCTTGCCTGGGCATGCGATTCTCAACTTAGGTCTACGTGTTCTCCTCTTTCATTTACCTTTTCTTATCATTTCCTGTCAAACTGATCAATCGATTAAAATTTGCGAACTGTTGCTGAGATCTCCTACGCTTACGTGCTACTGTGCCCTCTTCCTTAAAAGTGCTCTTTACATATCACTGTGCTTTCGCTTTCTCTGCGTCATGTCAACAAAATCATTGTACCTTTTTACCTAAACCACCTATTTTTGTTTCCATTTTCCGTCGGAACGTAATCACTTGCTTTCCGCCTCATTCCAGCCGGAAGGGGACGATTGTACTTAATATTGGGTTGTTTCAGCCCAACTTCGCTCACCTCACACGCTCTTCTTCGTCTACCGCCTTTATATGTGTGCTCAACATGGGCTTACCTTTCCACATCAGTGTAAAAAATCATGTATCTTCTTACTACTCATAAGTATGCAGTCTGGACTGATTATTAGCCTCCGGTAGCTGTTCTTGATTTCTCATCGCAACTGAATGCACACATTCGTACTAATCGACGGATAGGAATTCATCAAACTAAGCATTTGAGGCATAAACACTTGATTGCCACCAACACAGCTTGTGATGGACTCCAGCTTGCCTCACTACATTACACACTAGATTATTCGACTAAATGCTCCGCATTTTTGTGAATAAGTCTCCCTGCCTGAGTCTGCCATTCGCCACCTTCCTGCTAATGGTATCAATTTTGTCTCTGTGTATGGTTTCGCTGCACCCTTTCGATACAGTGTTTGTTGCGAGAGATTAGCTCCGAAACTCTACTCTCCCACCAAGTTTGCTACCTTGTGTATCGGATCCTTAAACCAATGGCTAGAGGTGGATGCCATAGAACAAAGTCCTCTTTTCAGAATGGGTGACCAAGAAGTATCTTCATTCCGCAGCGTTCTTTCGTCAGCTGCTTTTTATTTCTGCTATGTAACCCTGAGTTTTCATCTGTTCACACAACTTCCTGACCTTTGTTCATTATTTCACCCTGTTTATTGTTATCCTGTACCTCTCTCCTCCTAGACCTTTACACAAGCATCAATTTCTCATTTTTAGTCCCTATCGGCAGTCCAACTACGCAGTATTTTGAACCAATTACTTGGGGTAATTGATCGCTTCGTACCACCTTTGGTGCTCGTTTTCCGGTGACTGCGCATATCACGTGGGTCCACATGATATCTGGGCGCCTATCAGCTGTGGACGTGACCTTCTGAGTACTTTTCTGTCGATTACAAGGCTTAAAACCCTTGTTTGCGACCGATACCGTTGTATTGGTCGAAGACATGGTCACTGAACCATATGCCTAGGTCAGCTTGTTCGCGTGCACTTCGATTACCACTTTCCGACATTAATTGCAATTACCATTGCAATTAGTTGGATAGGGCTTTAGGATCACCAATTCACGATATCCAAACGCAACATGGAGCAACCACATGTAAGGGTAGTCCGGGCTGATTACCGTTTCCCCATGCTGGGTGATGCCTTTCAAGTGCCTCCCTCTAGCCGCCCATACCACAGAGATCACTTGTTTGAAGCTAGAGGAGCTCTGTCTCAACAACCACTTCATAGGAAGTGGGTGAAAATCCATGATATCCTTCTCTCAAAACTTGAGCATGTGAGATATCATTTTATGGGTCAATATCTCAGAATATTAGACTTAGAATGCAAACAACATTTGTTGCTCCTGACACACATAGGTTGCTTGTTTGTTCGATGTCACCTACTTCGAACCTGGAGGTTTATGCTCAACATGTAGAAATCCCCCTCAATTATAACTGTATAGCCTTAAACGGTCATACTGACTTCGTAACTTATTCAGAGTCGTCCGAGTCTGCCTGAGGTTAACTTCATACAAGTACCCTCATGGACCCTGGGACCATGCTCCCGAAATGTGCCTGATTTTTACTGCATTTTGCATCATGCTATTAGATCAGACTCTCCGTACCAAGTTCCTTCCACATCCTATCATTTCCCCGTTGCCTTTTTGTTTGGGCATTTGAGACAGGCGCTAGAGGCAGAAACCATAGTTTGACAATGCGGGGCCAAATAGCGTCTGCATTCCGCAGTACTCCGTAATTAGGGGTTTTTGCGTGTACGTATTTTTAATGTGTCTTAACTAACTAAATGTTTATTTGCATAGAACTTTGATCACAGGTGGATCATGAAAATTAAAACTAAAATCACAGACTGCTTTTTACAAGAATAGCAAAGGGATACTAAATGGTTTACTGCAATGAAGTGATATTGGCTGGCCTTTAACAGCTCTCACACATACTTTATTATCTAGCAGCTAAGTCACAGGTGAGAGTATGGTGGCGAAACATATATTGGGTCATATACGCTCGTACGCTTGGCTTGTTGTTATAGAACCATCAAACAGTTTGATCACGTCCTGTACAGTCAATAACTTGATGAGTCCTTTGTGAAATTTGTTTTTAATAGTGCAGGCGCGTATTGCGGGTGATAGGTTGTTCTGGATTCTGACCCACCTGTTAAGGAAACAGTTCGTATACACCTGCTGGTCCTGGACTTGCATTCCGTCATTCGATTCTGTCCATGCCGTGTGGTGTAGCCAGCTGATTGCGTCAATAGCATGTTGAGGTTGGAAACATGTATATTTCTGTGCAGACTGTTGGGAAATATGACTAGACTCTAATTCGTGCACCGCAGCCAGAGCGGATCAAATTTGAGCTTGTCCCATCGTTCAGACCATTCCAGTTTTGAACACGCACCTAGAGAACGCTTCCTTAATGTTCTCTGTACGTGTTACAATGCAATACTGTCGCACTATTTTGCTACCCTACGCCATTGCACAATATTCCAGCTTAATTCGAACAACTGGTATATAAGAGCGAAATATTGACTTGTAAAAAAGCCCTAAACATCAACCCACTGTTTTGTCTTGCCATCGCGGTGGCATATCCTAGTTGTTCACCAAAGTCAACTGAGTATGGACATCGCAGTCTAGTCTCTTACTGTTAAACGGAGATTAAGTGGTTTGCAATCAAGATTCAGGCCTCTATGAGTCATTTGTCTGTAGAGAAAGACACTTTCCGCTAGAAGCACCGGGTTTCATGCTCATGGAGGTCGAGTTGGATCATGTTGGTGACATCATCAGAGGGATCCGGACAGGGCGATGTTATCTCATCGACAAAGTGGTGTAGTGTGCTGGACTTTACTACGTCGAAGTTATCGTTAATGTGTAGTGAGAACCGTGGAGCCCCAAGAACGCTGCCTGTTATTACACCGCTGTTGACAATTGTAGATTCATACTTGTCTGCTTGACCTTGTGTCATCTGCGCTCGATTTGTAACAAACGAACTGAACCAGCAAAGCAAGGGTTGTTCCATCTCGCATGACACCATCCTATATATTAGAAGTCCATGACCATACGTATTACACAATTTGAAGTTAATTATATTTGCTGACATACAATGTCAGTAAAGGCATTTATATGGTTTCAAAATTCCAGGTAACAGTTGTGCAGAACAGAGTATACAAGAAACCGTGAAGAGAGCTGTTTGTTAGCACTATTTGCGGCACCAATCCAACGGATAACTAATAGTCATTCGGATCTGGCATTAGTTTGCGAGACTCCGCGAATCAGGACTGAATAGCCGCATTGAAGATGTTGGCTAATTTGGTAACGAAACAACTGCAACAGAAATGCACGGCTCGGAGAACAGGATAATCCTCTCACAAACCTACTTACCCACTCGTACGACCACATTCATCAGGAAGAGGCTCCAACACTAGAAATGGGCGCGCCCAAAAGGCGGCCGCCACCATCCGTGTTCCAAATGTGCTCCCACTACTGACATCCAGCCTGCTACTATCCACTTAGCGGTAAATAAACCGCTATCTGAATCACTGCTATTTAGCATATTTTACGGGATGTCTTCTGCCTCGGGCGGTAGTGGCCTAAAGGAACAACCAACCTACACAATGTGCCCGGTCTACTGCAGTCGCACCGCACCTCAAACATTTACAGAGGCTAGACAGATACATGACAGTCCACATAGCAACACCGCCATTATGACCGTTATTACACTAGCTAACCTTGCCTAAAATTCGCCGAACGCCAAGGAACTGCTCTCGCAATTTAACCTCTCCATATGGTTGGCGGCATCCGATTTCGGAGTTGGCTGTCACTGTGGTCAGCGGCAGGGCGCCTGCGCCTACAGAGGGACCATGGGTGGCTTGCGCTGCACCACCCACAGCTCCAACCACACACCCCATATCCAGTGTAAACCCAAAGCAATAAGACCAGTAGGCATGTGGATGGGAGCCACGTTTCATCAACCGAGCCGGCCCACACTCTTTCACAAGCACGCTGTATTTGGGAATCAAGCGCACACAAAGCGGTGGCTGGACTGTGGTCCGCTCTACACTGAGTGCACGGAATCACTCTTCAAACCTAGCACGGTCACAATGACCGTGCACTTCGTCCCCTCCAGTAACGACCAACTGTCTCCTGGAGCCGGTATGGACGAGGTAGTGGGTAATAGACAGGTAGGCACCTTGTGGACATTCACATCAAGCGCAGCCACCCCGGGGATATCAAGCAACAGCCAATCACTTAGAACAACGATGACAAATAAAATAAATCGAAAATTGCGTACAGATACGGTGACGTAACTCTTCAATAAATGAGCATATGAACTAAATTGGTTACGAACAAATCCGCGATAAGTT